AAATTTGGCGTCACTATTTGTATGGGGTCCATGTGGAGGTATTCACGGACCACAAGAGTCTTCAATATATTTTCAAACAAAAGGAGCTGAATCTGAGGCAAAGAAGATGGCTTGAGTTGCTCAAGGATTATGACATCGATATTTTATATCACCCGGGGAAAGCCAATGTTGTGGCAGATGCACATAGCTAGAAATCTATGGGTAGTTTAGCACACTTGGAGGTATATCAAAGGCCATAGGCCAAGGAAGTCCATCGATTGGCTAGTTTGGGAGTTTGTCTTACAGACTCTAATGAAGGAGGAATAATTGTGCAAAATAGGACTGAATCATTGCTTGTTGTGGAAGTCGAAGAGAAGCAATACAACGATCTATTTTTGGTGCAATTGAAGGAGGGGATTCGAAAATATAAGACTATGGTTTATACTCTTGGCATGGATGATGGTACACTAAGGTACCAAGGGCGACTATATGTTCCGAATGTAGATGGTCTCCGGGAAAGAATCATGATGGAGGCTCACGCTTCTAGGTATTCCGTGCATCCAAGTTCTATGAAGATGTATCATGACCTCAAGGAAGTCTATTGGTGGAATGACATGAAAAGGAATGTGGCGGACTTTGTGGCAAGGTGTTCGAACAGTCAACAAGTGAAGGCCGAACATCAACGACCTGGTGGGTTGGCACAGAACATAGAAATTACAATGTAGAAATGGGAAATGATTAATATGGACTTTGTGGTAGGTTTACCTCGCACTCCGTGAAAGTTTGACTCAATTTGGGTGATCGTGGACCGACTCATGAAATCAGCACACTTCTTTCCAGTTAAATATACCGACACAGCAGAATAGTATGCTTAGTTGTACATCAAGGAAATAGTCAGCCTACATGGCACTCCAGTTTCTATCATTTCTGATCGAAGGGCTCAGTTCACGGCCAATTTTTGGAAGAAATATCAGCAAGGTTTGGGTACTCAGGTGAATCTTAGTATAGCTTTCCATCCCCAGATCGATGGGCAAGCAGAGCAGACTATTCAGACGCTTGAAGACATGTTGCGTGCTTGTGTTCTTGATTTCAAGGGTAGCTGGGATGATCATTTGCCACTCATAGAGTTTGCTTATAACAACAGCTTTCATGCAAGTATTCAGATGGCACCATTTGAGGCATTATATGGTAGGAGATGTAGATCTACCATTGGGTGGTTCGGGATTGGGGAAGCAGAGTTGATAGGGCCAGACTTTGTGCATCAGGCTATGGAAAAAGTTAAAATCATAAAGGAGCGGTTGAAAACTGCTTAGAGTCGTCAAAAATCCTATTTGAATATTCATCGCAGAGACTTAGAGTTTAAAGAAGATGATTGGGTATTCTTGAAGGTTTCCCCCATGAAGGGTATTATGTGGTTTGGGAAAAAGTGGAAATTGAGTCCGAGGTATGTCGGGCCATACAAAATCATCCATAGGATCAGTCTGGTGGCGTACAAACTTGAGCTACCACCCGAGATGTCATTAGTGCACCCGGTATTCCATGTGTTTATGTTGAAAAAGGTAATTGGAGATCCGTCAGTTATTGTGCCGGTTGAGACCATTGAGGTTAATGAAGAATTTTCATATGAAGAGATTCCAGTTGCCATTCTTGATAGGCAAGTCCGAAAGTTGGGGAATAAAGAAATTGACTCCGTGAAAGTATTATGGCAAAACCAGCAGGTTGAAGAGGCCACGTGGGAGGCCGAGGAAGAGATGAAGAAGAAGTATCCTCACTTGTTTGAATAGTTGTGTAATCCTTTCTTTTATGAACATGTCGCCTAAGAATTTTGTATCACTTGTTCAGTTAATGTAAAGATGCTCATTTTGATTATATGTTATTTACATGAGGCCACGATTGGTGGGGTTATGAGTTATGCTATGTCATTGGGTTCTATACATGTTTGTAAGATGTGTTTCTGGGGCGCTCTGATAGGTGGAAAGGCCTAGTTACAAACGAACTCTGGCGAAATTTTTGGAAATTTAGAGAGTTAGTTAAATTTGGGGTTGCTAGTGTAGGATATGTTAACTGAGTTGCACAAGGTGCTAATAATGGACTATGATCCTCATTCGAGGATGAATGATCTTAAGTGGGGGAGGATGTAAGGCCCCATAAAAGAAAAATTCCCTAAAAACCCGAGTTTTGTTATGACAAAGTAGGCGTAGAGGTTAATGTTGGACGTTTTGAACTCACCAGAGCGCTGGGAGTTGAAGGAAAATGTTGGGCAAAAATATGTATTTCTGCGGCCGTTCTACGGCCGCAGAACCACTATGCGGATCGTAGACTGGTCGCAGAGTGGGGCAGATTTCTGGGGCATTTTGATGCCCAATTTCGCGGCCATTATGCAACCGCGTAACCATTTCGCGGACCGCATTCTTGTCGCATATCCCGCCTTGAGATTTTTTGGAGGGATGTTCTGCGGTGCACTATGCGACCGCAGAACCATTCTGCGGTGCATTATGCGACCGCAGAACCGTTCTGCGGTGCACTATGCGACCGCAGAACAAGTTTGCGGGCCGCATAGTGACCGCAGACCAGATCAATTCTATTCTAGTTCTGGCCCCCCCATTTTCACGGCCATTATGCGGTCCCCGTTCCGTAGCTTCATTTTTGGGGTTTTTAAACTCGACCCTATTCCGTTAAAACACACCTCATAGACCATTTTGGGCATATTTTCTGATATTTTTAGAGTGAGAGAGAGGGTCCTAGAGGGAGAAGTGATCTTCATCAAATTTTTCTTCAATTCTCACTTAAATCTTGAAGATTATCAAGAGAAACACCTAGGTCTTCCTAAGAGGTAAGATTCTATCACCCAAACTCTTAATTTCAAAATGTAACTAGAATGGGTCATTAGTGAAGTAATTCATAGGGATGGCAGTGCTTACCTTGCATGCATGTATCCTTGTAGTATGTGGGAAGATTGTGAGCTAATAATGGTAGAGAGGGGGTTGGAAAATGATAGAATCTTCCACAAAAGAGCCTTAAAACATTGATTCACACCTAGTGTTTGATAGTATGCTCAAATGAGCTAAAACCATGTTCATCTTCCTAATTTTGGTTCAATTTTGTTATATTGCTAAAATAGATTGAAGTTCCTAATAGTCCGGAACATCTTAGAGTTTTAAGAGGCTCAATTGAGGTATGTTGGCTAAACCCCCTTCTTCTTAGAATCGAATCCCACGGTGTTCATGTAATTGGAGTATGTCCTTGATCATTATTGAATTGGCTTTTCCTAATTTGATTGTGTTGAAGGATGTTTGTTCAATGTTTATGCTAAATGCTTCATCATGTTCTCTTGCCATTTGAGAATATGTTCAAAATGTGGAATATGTGTTAGGAATGTTAAGACTTCATGTCAAGATTGAAATAAAGGTTGTTTTGCCAAATTGCATGAAAGGCCCCTATGTGCCTGAGATTTCCCAAATTGCTCATATGTGAATTAATGTCTTGAATGAGAAGCCCTATTGATGAAGATATTGATAATTATATTTGAAGGTGGAAAAGGGAACTGGAACTATGAAATACGGCCAAGTGCCAAGAATGACCTTGTAATCGTAATCGCTAGTGCCAATGAATTGAAAGTATATGAAAGAAGTTCAATGTGAGATGATTGATTGAAGAAGGTAATGTCTCAAATGAGATGGCCTAGCCGATCGTGCCGAGATCGGACTCCGTGTAAGAACACGGTGGTATTGTGAATGAAATTGTGGTAATGTCTCAAATGAGATGGCCTAGCCAATCGGGTCATGATCAGATGCCATGCCGCACACATGGTGGTACTGTGCCAAAAATTATAATGAAATTGTGGTAATGTCTCAAATGAGATCGCCTAGCCGATCGGGCCGATATCGGACTCCGTGTAATAATACGGGGGTATTGTGAATTGTGGAATATTGGTGCTAAAGATCACCCAACCTAATAATATGGAAATTGTCTTGAAAACTCGCATGATCCTTAACTTGTTGTTTTACTATTATTTGAAGCCCTTATTGAATTCTTGATTGTTCCTCTTGTATTATTATTCATTCTATTGAGTTGGTTCTTAGCTTTACATACTAGTGCTATTCGACGGTACTAACGTCCCTTTTGTCGGGGGCGCTTCATCTTTGAATGGATGCAGGTGGTTACAAAGCAGACATTGCTGATCACAGATAGTGTTGCATCCTCTTCTCAGCGGACTCGGTGAGCCCCATTTCATTCCGGGGTCATGTATTGTACCTTTTGTTTATATTATGGTCACTTTTTGAGGTATAGTTGTGGCCTTGTTACCGGCACCATCTTTACTCTCTTTTGTATCTTTAGAGGCTCCGTAGACACTATGTGGGTTGTATATGGGTGTTGGGAATGTTAAACAAGTTATGTTCTGTTTGATCACTTGTTCCACTTGAACTATAAGAAATGTGTATTTTGAGACTTAAAGGCGCAATGGCTAATGAAATGATTTAGGATTGTATGAATGAGATTCCTACTGTATAATTAATGAAATCATGTCTTTTCTTGATCATGGGTTTATTGGATAGAAAGTATCTAACAGGGTTGCTCGGTTGGGTTCACTAGGTTGAGCGCCGGTCGCGCTACCCGAGGATGGGGCGTGACAATGGTAAGGGTTTAAGTTCCAGTTTTGGGGCCTCCTCAACTAAGGGTTTAGGGGGCGGGCCGATTGGCCTATCTAGAGGCTCAAATTGGGATCTTTCTCTTATGTATTCGCAAGATGCATCCAGAATTTGAAACATTTTCTCAACCTCCTCTTCAAGTTCTAAGTGATTGAACAACATCAATGCCTTTTCTAGTGCATCTTCTTTAAACGCACTTGACTCTACGGTTGGTTCATTTATCTCCACCACAGAAATCATTTCCAGGTCCTTGTACTGACAAGGCAATTGAATGGCTCGATATACATTGAAGACTGCTTCTTCATTGTCCAACCTTAGGATCATCTTACCTTCTCGGACTTTGATAATTGCATCTCCAGTGGCCAAGAGAGGTCATCCCAAGATGATAGGAACTAACTCATCAGCCTCGTAGTCCAGGATGATAAAATCCTCAAGGAAAATAAACTTCCCAATCTGCAGCAAGACATCCTCCATTACCCCCTCAGGATAAACATAAGATCTATCAGCTAACTGTAGCATTACCGTGGTGGGTGTCAGAGCTCCTAAGCCCAATTGTTTGAACACTGACAATGACATCAGATTGATACTTGCAACCAAATCACACAAGGCTCTACCCACATCAATTTCACCAATCCTCATAGGGATGGTAAAACTACCCGAATCCTTAAGCTTTTATAGAAGCTTATGTTGAATCCTGGAAGTGCACTCCTCAGTAAGTGCGACGATCTCAAACTCAGTTAACCTCCTTTAATTTGCCACTATAACCTTAATATATTTTGCATATTTTGGGACTTTACGGAGCATGTCCACCAAAGGGATGTTCAAGTGTATCTACTACAGCATAAATAGAAATTTGTGAAACATGTGGTCATCATTATTCTTTTCAATCTTTGAGGAAAAGGGGTGGCACCCTCTCTGATATTTGCTCAGACTCTATTTTGTTTCTCTTATCTACCTCTACAGGTTTTGGCACTCTTTCTTCTTCGAGCCCAGACTGCTCCTTTTTCTTCTTAGGCACTTCTGCCAACTCTCTACCATTTCCCAACATCACTGTATTGATTGAGGAATTTTCACTGTTTCACTTGGGAGAGATCCAACAGGTCTAATATTCTGATTGTTATCCATTTTCCCAAACTGCCTCTCTAGATTTCTAAACTCTGTGCGCAATTGCTAATTCTCAGCCATAACTTTCTGATTATCTAGCAAGAGCTTTTTCATCATGTCAGTCAAACTCTCTTCTGCTTACTGTAAGGGTTTAGGTGGTTGATTATAATTAGCTTGTGTCCTGATATTCTGATTGCCACCTCAAGAGAAGTTAGGGTGATTCCTCCAGTTCGGATTGTATGTGTTACCATATTGAGCATTTTGATTCATCGGCCCTCTAGCTTGTTGCCCCACATAGTAGATGGATTCAGGATTCACGGGGCATATGTCACTTGTGTGACCTTCAACACATAACTCGTAGCAAGTAGATATCTGTTGCACATGCTGCATCTATTGTGCTTGGTGCATTATCATTTTATTCATCTGATTTGCTAATCACGCTATATCTGCCTTCATGGCTGAGAAATCATCAAGCTCGATCACACATGCTGCCTTTTGTTTAAGTGCTCTTCGTGGTTCCCCATCTCCTTGCCAATTATTATCATTAGCAATGAAATTGTTTAGCAGGATTTGGATCTCACTATACGGTCTTGCCATGCAACTACCCCCACATGCTGAGTCAAGATTCATCTTTGATGCCTAGTCCAACCCATCAATGAAAGTGTGACCCAACACTTTATCAGTCTGACAATGATGTGGGCAGTCTCTGAGTAGCTTCTTGTATCTTTCCCAAGCTTGTCGAAGAGTCTCGCTACCTCGTTGTTGAAACCCAAAAATCTGGCTCCTCAGCGACTTTGTCTTCTTAGTGGGAAAAAACTTGATTAAGAATTTCCTTGCAAGATCATCCCAATTGTGGATTGAGTTCGCGGGCTCCTTTTGCAACCATTCCTTAGCTCCCCCCAGTAGTGAAAAGGGAAACAGTGATAGCCTGACATAGTCCTTGGAAACGTTCGGATAATTGTAAGTGTCCATAATTTTCAGGAAGTTCTGAATGTGCCTCTGCGGGTCTTCATGAGATAGACCCACATATTGCCTTTTGGATTAAATCAGCTATACCATGTACTGTTTGAGTTTAAAGTGACCTGTTATATCAGGCTTCACAATCGCCTGTGTCATATTAGCCAGATTGGGCCTTGCAGCTTCTATCACCGGACGCTATTCATTATCTTCCATCTCTATTGGTTGTGGTTGAACTACGATGTCCAACTCTCTTTCAATTATAGTTCTAGTTTCGACTTCCCTCCTCACTCTGTGAAGTGTTCGTTAGATTAAGGATCAAGAGGAAGTAGATTGTTTGCGCTTCTACTCCTCCGCATTCAAGAGAAGAGCCTGCGTTATCACAAATAAAGCAAACTAAAAATTAAAACTTGAACAAATAACGAATAAAAGCTTAACTTAAATAAACAATTAATAACTAAGTCCTCGGCAACGGCACCAAAAACTTATTGGTTCCCCAAATATACGCAAGTATACATGGCCGTCAAGTAATAAAGTGACTCGAAAGTCGGATGTCGAACCCACAGACACTTAGATCAATCGTTAACTAAGCAAACTAAAATCAGTTAATTGTCCAAGATAATCAAGAGTGATGTTTTTCTATTAATCTGCTATTTTGGAAATTAAATAAGTAACAACTAATTTATCAAGAGTGCAAATGTGTATGATGAGATTTTAATTCAGAGGAGATGAAAATTCCTGGGTTGTGGTTGGTTTATTAATCCTATTAAGTTCAATAATTACACTTGTTAATCTGAATTATTTATGGTTGCTAATTAACCGAATTGTTTATATGAATAGCATGCTCCCACAATACTACTCGCCTCTCCACAATATATCAATCATATATTCCTATGGTATTGAATCTATCATGAACGAATATAATACGGTATTTAACTAAGCAAGACCGTTAGGTATATTCCTATCCTAACCGCGAAATCTTTCCCCGAGCCACGGGTTCAGAAACAAGCTCTCTTTAATTCTACTCTAATCTAAACACAACTTTCCCAATCATAGCATAGATAGTATGATGAATTGGTAGCTACAACAATTCACAAGTTAAAACAAGAATTAAAGAAACAACCACAAGTTGATAATTCGAATCAACGAAGATGTACTTAATAAACGTTAGTAATCATGTCACCCACAACCCTAGAAACTATAGTGCTTAGCCACTCATGTTCATAGTAACAACTTTCCAAGTATTTCGCATAAATAAATTACATAGAAAAGATGAATGAACGAAGAACTCGATGATTTTCTCCTCCAAAGAATGTTCCCAACGTCTTCTCTCCTTCCAAAATAGTCTCCTTAGGTATAAGATATGTCAAAAGTCCTCAAAATAACGTTTTTACATGTATTTATACCATGTAGGGTTGGGCCAAGATAAAATCTCCCTTTCCTAGCCGAAATATGAAAACTTGCAAACTTATTGCTTTTCATGCGTCGCACTGTGCGTCGCCCCGTGCGTCGCACTAGTGCTTTTTCCTGTTTGACCAAAAAAAAACTCAGCCTCTGAACTTTGGAAATTTCTGACATAAAATTAAACTAATGCTTCGTATTGTACATCGCACAGTGCCTCACACTAGTGCATTTCTTCAGCAGTTGCTTCTTCCTTGAATTTTGACGTCTAGAATTGATCCTCGACCCTCAAACGCGATCCCGGCTTAATCCCTTGGGCTTTTACTCAGACTTCAAAGCTCCAAATATCTCGAATTCGTTCCATAACATGTTCATAGCTCAGAATCACTCCTACAAGGCATAAAACACGCAATTAGTGCAAAACTGTAGCGATTAAAGCTCAAACTCAATTAAAGTATAGCAAATTAGAGTATAATAAGTGACTAAAATACGTAATTATAGCCTACCATCAGTGTACGCGCGTGTGCGTGTATGAGAAGGAATAGAAGAAGAAGAAGAAGAAGAAGAAGAAGAAGAAGAAGAAGTAGAATAGTACATCCATGTTAAATTCTTGGTACAAAGATATATTACATGTATATTAAGTTTGTATAATAGAAGAAGGGACATTTCCGGTGAAACTTATCCCCTTTAAGTCCGAACCAAAATATCCACGTTAATTATGTAAAATTCTACTTCTAACGTCTCATTCTCGTCTTCTCCACTCTGATTTGATAAGTCAATTTTGTTGTCTGAAACTATTTCCTTAAAATAATGATATTTAACTGGCTCAATGATTGCTTTTAATGATTTTCTAGAGTCTTTCTCCACTACTACTTGAAAATTTTCTATCTCCTAATTTATTTGTTACTTTTCGTTCAAAAGTCAGTTAATTATCCAAGTTCTGAATCCTAATCTTTTTTGGTCATTGTTTCGTTCTTTTCTTTTCTTTTCTTTTCTTTTTTTGATGTGTGTGGGGTCTGCTACTCTAACTCGATCGCATATATAGAAGAAAAAGCATTGATTATCCGTGAAACAAGTTAATAAGGTGTTTAAGTATGTCTTGAAAAATAAATTCAGACAAGCAACATGCTGAATAAACGTTTATCATGAGTACTAATCTTCTATCATAGCTTTTCCTATTTAATAAGGTACTCCACAATTATATACTCCATGTTGTTAGAAAAAAATTCATATGATTATTCCTCTGTTGTGGTCTGCTACTGTAACCATGTATGACAATGAACTAGCTAGCTTCACCGTGGGGGATCATGTTTCATTTTGTGGACCATACTGAATTGTGTATGAACAATTACAAATCATATACACTAGATTGAATCTAATGAAGCTGACTCAGCCATTCATGTCCCTCTCATCCTATTATACTGCATCTTTATGGAGAAGAATTTTCTTTGACAATTCAAACATTTCATAGCCGCAAAACAAAGATTCTCCTTTTGACCCCATGATTTCCCCCCTTTTAATTTCTCTGGATAGATCTGAGCTTGAAGTTGCCAACTTGCTACAAAGTGGATTTCTGTTCTAGGAGGGAAAAATTGCACATAGCTACAATAAAATGCTCACGAAATTTTGGACTGTATCGAGCTTAAATGGAGCGGCATGGATAGTAAGAATTCAAGACTTAATTGTTGTTGGTGTTGTTGTACAATACTCCCCCACCCCAACAAAAAGGAAAAAAGAATGTACTCATAATTTACAGTTGCTTAAACATTGAATTAAACTTTACAGATTTGAAGCATGGACTTGTGGCCTGAGACTACTAACCTCAACAAAGGGTTGACTAACTATGGCTTTGGTTTGCTCGAAGCCTGATGTTAGAGACACATCTATCCTTTAACATATACAACACAGGCATTAGGCATGGCCCTGAACTAGGTGTTATTAAACTGCTGGCTCAAGAACATGACTTTATTAGTCCCAAGTTGAAGAGAAATTTCTCTGAGCTTGATCTGAATATATGTCCCAAAGAGAATCTAGCAGTTTGCTGTGGTGGTGAATCAGAGTAGACGTCGTCCTTGACACGAAGAACAGTCTGACCTATTTCTTTACGGACTGCTTCAATGGTTTCACTTTTAACTTGACTTCCTGATGCATCAGTAACATAGAAAACATTAACAGCTTGTGAGCCCCTTGTAGTAACCTCAGCCCTCGAAACAGAAAGACCATTCTCCCTAAATATACGAGTTACATCTGATAGAAACCCAATTCTGTCATCACCACATAGTTCCAGTCTTATTCCCTGCATGATATTAACATCCAAAATGTTAGTTTTAGTAAGTGGGGAAACTGATGACTACTCAAATGTGAATTCAAACTCTTTTAAGGTTGTATGTACATTAGAAGTTCGCCTCTTGATAGCTGCCTCCAAGCATTGTATCACACGTTGTCTCTCTGCTTCAGAACTAATTGGGCAGCCATCCATATGCCTAATGTAATATTCCTAAACAAAAGAACAAGAGGAAATAACTACAAGTTGTCAAACTCATTCTTGGTCCATAGCTTTAGACCACTTGTCGACAGTTGATGGCA